GGGGGGCTGCAGTGATGGTTGACTTTCTACAACTTTCTCTCATCTCCTGACTGTATCTCTGGAGCTCAGCCACAGTCATCTTTGGGTTCTTCTGTACCTCTCTCACCAAGGCTCTTCTCCCCCGATAGTTCAGTTTGGCCGGACGGCCAGCTCTAGGAAGGGTTCTGGTCGTCCCAAACGTCTTCCATTTAAGGATTATGGAGGCGACTGTGCTCTTAGGAACCTTAAGTGCAGCAGAAATTTTTTTGTAACCTTGGCCAGATCTGTGCCTTGCCACAATTCTGTCTGAGCTCTTCAGGCAGTTCCTTTGACCTCATGATTTTCATTTGCTCTGACATGCACTGTGAGCTGTAGGGTCTTAGACAGGTGTGTGGCTTTCCTAATCATGTCCAATCAGTATAATCAAACACAGCTGGACTCAAATGAAGGTGTAGAACCATCTCAGGGATGATCAGAAGAAATGGACAGCACCTAAGTTAAATATATGAGTGTCACAGCGAAGGGTCTGAATACTTATGACCATGTGATATTTCAGTTTTTCTTTTTTAATAAATCTGCAAAAATGTCAAAAATTCTGTGTTTTTCTGTCAATATGGGGTGCTGTGTGTACATTAATGAGGAAAAAAATGAACTTAAATGATTTTAGCATATGGCTGCAATATAACAAAGAGTGAAAAATTTAAGGGGGTCTGAATACTTTCCGTACCCACTGTACAACAGTAGTAAAGAGTGTCACAACAAAGTAGTGAATTGAACATTACATGCAGTTTGCATCATCTGAAAATTGATATAATTGCACAGCAACTGCTCATTTGGATGCGTTATTAGTGTAGAAGCAATGCAAAGCCAAAGCGGTACTGCTACAATGCCTACGTTGTAATACAGCACAATAGGCAGTTGTCTGCTTTTTTGTTTTGGTTACATCTTTCCTGGTAGAGATGACTCATCCACATACTCAAGGCTATAATACACACACCCTGATTCAAAGCTGCTATACAGCCTGACCTGTGTAGTTGTCCACCCGCAGGCAATGCAGTTTTCCCTGTAAAAGACCTGCAGTGGTTTGAACTATAAACTGTAAAGATTTCAGTGTAGGAAACCAAATGCAGAGAGCAGTTAGACTGCATTAACCTTCCATAAATCCTCCTCAGTTGATTGCTTTACCTAGCAAATAGCCAACAAAATAGCGTCTTTAATAGGCCAGAAATATTTCTGCAAGAGGAGATAAAAACTACATGGCTAGCTTTTATCTGATACCATCCACAGCACACACAAATCAGTTCATCCATTTTGTCCTCATTCTTTCAGTCACATATCAACAGCCTTTTCAAATTGGCATGCTTTGAAACCCTATATTCTAGGTCATGCAGCTGTTCTGTTCAAGAAAAAAGAACATACTGTACACTCATGAAGAGCAACAAAGAATTAAGGCAACAACCCTCGCCCAGTTAGATGGCTTCATACAGCAGCCGTGGCTCACTCTCTGCTGCAGCGTTTTTTGTTTTTTTGTTTTTTTGTTGGCGTGATTACAAACCAGATTGAGATTGAGCAAGAAGGAGACAGAGGGAGTGTGCTACTACGCTGTCCCCTGTGTCAGCTGTGATCAGAGATGAACCAGAGCCACCTGAGTCCCAAGCCTGGAGCATGTTTCTGCCAGGTTTGGGACTCACTCACACACAGCATAGAAACAGTATATAGTACATTTCCGTCCTGATTGGAGTGGTCTCTTCCAGGATGACAGTCCCATCCATATCTCACGAGGGGTCACTGAATGTTTTGTTAAGTATGAACATGATGTGAATCATATGGGCCTTAAGGGTCAGCAAATCTCAATTCATCTGATCACCTGTAGGAGATTTTGGAACGATCTCAATTCTGATCACCTGTAGGAGATTTTGGAACGACGTGTTAGACAGCGTCTCCACCACCGTCATCAAAACACCAAGGAGAGAATATCTTTTGTAAGAATGGTGTTGATCCCTCCGGTAGAGTACTGTTGGCCCAGCACCTTGCTGAGACACTTTGTGGGTTTGTCCTTTCAGTTGTCTCCAGCCTGTGCACGTTTATGATTTACATCATTTAATATTATACTGATACAGCTAATGCCAGCATATAAAGAGGAAACAATGCATTATTTTGTTAATAAAGGCATTTTAAGCATATAAATATTACAACTGCATGACTAACCTCTGGCACGCTGCAGTCTTCAGCCAGTCAGGTTTGACTCCTCGTGATGCCGCTGAGATCAGCCATCAACATATTAAAGCAGAACCTCCAGGTGGTGATTTCTGATCATATTGTTGCCCTGGTTTCTTGCTCTTTGGAACAAAAAATACAACTGAGATAAATGAGATAAAAGGATAGAAAAAAAGAAAGAAAAGCTTCTGTATTTACTTTCACTGCTAGTTTTAACATTGTGAAAATGATGTTTCCCTGTATCTCATACCTGAATGAAATGTTTATTGTCCTTTCAAAGCTTAATGTTGCTCTTTTTTTTTCAAACATTAAGCATACAGTTTATGTGATGGATTGAATGGCGCTTTGGCTTTTTTCAATAATGCAGTCAATTTTCTTCATAACCAGTGATGATAGGAATATGAACCATCAAGCTGGGTATTTAATTAGAGTATAATAATAGGTATCATTAATCAAACAAAGCAGTGAAAGTGTTAGATGTGCCTTCAGTGAATCTGTCCTCAGTCCTGCATGTCTGATACTCTGTTATATTCCTAGATTGCAGTTATTATAAGTTCAATCAGTTTTATATTCCTATTTTGTGCTGTGTAAGCTTTTTGCTAACATATGAACTGAAAGAATAAGGTATAAGGTTTATTGATCAAGTGATAATCCTTTT